TTTCGAGGTTGTTTTAGTCCAGGTCCAAGTGAGGAATTGAAGGGGGGTTTTATAGTGTGCCTGCTGGCCTGGTGTCACGCGGCAAGCAGAACAAGCTTTTCACAAGCGCAGAGTACAAGTGAATAATTTCACATGGCAAGCAGCTGGCACTTGTGACGTGCATAGGAATCCTTGCGAAGATCTTTGCCCAAATCCATGAAAACAGTAAAAGGCAGCTGAAGCCAGAGGATGCAGGTTCGATAAGTGAAATTCTCTTATTGACGATTACTCTCAGAAAATTCAACCAAAGGTCCGTCTTTGGCGCTGGTAAATGTGTCTTTCAGCTGGAACTCTGTCGGTCTGTGCCGTCCAAACTCTGACCAGACGTTGCCCTGTCCGAGATGTGTGCCTGGAGCAAGCCGCATGTCGTAGAGAAAAAGGACTCGGGCGAGTGCCAGTGTGAGCTCAAGGTAGGCCATAGCTGGAACATAACGAACAACCGTCAGCCTGGGATGCATCTTGGAAGAACAGCAGATCAAAGCACTCACACTTGCCAATACAACCTCTCGGCCCAATGCTGAATGGACAGAAAGCAGAGTGGGCTACGCCGACAGTCTCAGCTGTAACTCCAGATTCGCTGTCTGCAATCCAGCGTTCAGGCTTGTACGCGAAAGGATCCGGGTAGTATTGCGGGTTATGGTGGATGCCGTAGTGCGGCACTCCAACGACTGTACCTTCAGGTAGCATCTGGCCTTCAACCTCCATGCCACCGTGCAGCACTTGTCGTGGAAGCAAGCCACCAACAGACGGCGACAGCCGCATCGCCTCATCAAGGCAGGCTCGCAAGTACTGAAGCTTCGAAAGCGTTGGACCACTGCAGATCTCCTCGACCTCTGAGAACGCCTTTCGAACTTCCTCTCCTGCCTTCGCAAGCACTCTTGGGTCGTGCACCAGGTAGAAGATCGTAGCTGCTAGAGCTGTAGAAGTCGTATCTGAGCCCGCAATGATGAGCAGGTTACTCTCGCCCCAGAGCTCCGGCGTGCTGAACCCTTTGCCGGTTTCTGGGTCTTTGGCTTTCAGTAAGTAGTAGAAGAAGTCCTTTCGATCCGCTTCATCTCCCATCTTCATTCGCTCGGCTGCCTGTGCCTTGGAGAATTGCATGTAGCGCTCTCGCATGCCTGCGATCTTTCGGAATAGTAGCTTGTCGATGTGGTACTCGTGCAACGGCAAGTAGGTTCCGCACATCAAGTGGCGATGCGCCGCATTGCTGATCAAGTCCGTGGCGAAGCGATTGTCAGGTCTGGTAAGCATGGCGAATGGCTTGCCAAAGCATAGATCTCCCATGATGTCAAAGGTGGTCCAGTCGGCTTGAAGAGACATGTTCTTCGGTTCTGACCACTGTCTTTCAGACTTCTCGGATTGATTGAATGCCGCCACGGCGCCTTTTTCGCCGAGATTCGAGCATAGCTGGCGGACGTGGGAGAGGATGTACTTCTCCATACTTCTAAGCGCTGTGTCAGAGAAGGCGTGAGAAAGAACCCGTCGCTTCCGCGCATGAGCAGCCTTGTCCACTGCACTATGGGTACTGAAGGCGTCCTTCTGTGCCGGAAAAGCCAGGTAGAAATCTCCTTTCCGGACGTTCGCTTTGAACCCGTAGATCTCTTTTAGACCCGTAGCACTATTGAATGACAAGCTGTTTGGACCAAAGCGTACAATAGGACCGTACTGCTCATGGCTGCGCCAGAACTCGAGATGTCTGTCGCCTTTCCAGGCATGGTAGGTCGAGTAGAGGTCGGTTACTTTCGCCAACAAGGGGCCCGGGTATCTCGAGAGCGGGTGGAAGAAAATGCGATAGATCGCCAGGCCAAGGAGGTACAGGAGGAGCGCCACGCCTGGGAGTAAAATGGTAGCGGTCAAATGACCGTATTGCAAGAAAGGCATGATAGCCATGATGTTGTAAAGATGGGCAAGTAGGAGACAAAGAAGAAGACACTCATCTATGGTGGCACGAGCAGCTTATGAAGGCGGGACTCAGCGGTACCATCCCGTCCTCACAACAGCGGCTACGGTCGGTCATCCTCATGCTATAGCTGAGAAGAGAAGGTGAGCAATAGATGTGGAAGGTGTTGTCAGGTTTTGATGGTTTTCGCCAATGAGACGCCGCGCTTCGCTGTACTCTTGTGCCGAGTCCAGCCGCATGCCTAAAGTACGACCTCACCTTTACATGTGTCTCCAGCTGCTGTACTGTTGCAAGCAATGCTGGCGCACATAATACATCGGTGAGTATCATGCGGCATGAGAAGAAAGGAAACTTTAACCAGAAAGGAACTGCGACCATTGAAGTGAAGTCGAACAACGACATTTCTTACTATGCAGCGCTGCTCGGGCATACAGACGGCCTCCCCAGCGGCTCTCCGTCACGCATACACCTCTCACATCGTATCACCACGCACAAACCCATGCCATGTCAACAGGAGAAGAAGCGAACAAGCTGTCTCCCCTACCCCTCTCCCTCTCCCTCCACCTCCATCATGTCCTCGTCCTCACCCCCATCCCCACCCTCATCCTCGTACTCCGCACCATCCTCCT